AGGTGGAGAGGGGGAAGCGGGGAAGGCAGCTGGCTGCAAGCACTTGAAAACACTTGTGATAATGATTACTAATAAGCCGCACAAACAAACCAGCCAAAGACTCCCAAAACAAAGCACAACAAGAAAATAATTAAAGACTCAAATAAAAGCGAGAGAAGACGCTGTTGAAACCAGTGGGGAGAGGGGGGAGGGGGGGGGGGAGAGGGGAGAGGGGTAGGGCGCTTGAAATAAAACAAACTTCTTTAGCTGGCATTAAAGTTGAAAGACAGAATAAATCGAGAGAGAGGAGAGTACCCAGAACGTATTTAATAAATAATAATAATAATTAATAATTTAATTAATTTAAAAAAAAAAAAGAGTTACAAAACAAACAACTTAGTTCCCTCGGCCGGTGTCGAACTCGCAACCCACCGAACTAACTAACTAGTTTGCCATCGCCGCAAACCTCGCAGCCATCGCAAGAATTGAAACTGAAATAAGTTAGATAAGTTGCACAAACAATGCAAACGTAATTGCAATTCTTTTTATGGAATTCATGTATGTGTGCACATGTATACAGATAACTTCTTTTGATAACTTCTGTGTTTCTTAACCGATCTTAATGCAATTTTCAGCAACAGCAACAGAAAGACAACAGCAAAGATACTCGAAAGAAAGTTAATAAACGACCAAGTAAATCTTCCAAGCAGAATCACTTTGAGGAGTCGATAAGTGTGAACTTAGCAAATTGAAAATTTCTAGCTAGAATTAAACTTTCGCAGCTGTGATCTAGTTCACAGTTCGCTTAAATTTGAACTAGTTACAAGCGACTTTAAGGAAAACGACTGAGATTCGAACACCTTGGAACTAGTTCCGTTGACTTCAAGGCTGTGCTCCTGCCTGTTTTGTGAGGCTTCACCCCCCCCCCTCCCCTCACCCCTTCTGAGTTTGACTCTAATGAGCATTAAATGCTGTCAACTATGAAGTAGTTCCGGTTCCACATCTTTAAATCGTCCCCTTTTTGCATTGCATTCAATTGAATATTGAATTTGAAATATAATTCATAATTGAAGCAATCAAATTTCCATGAACTCTTCAGCTGCGGGCAACCCTGCCGAGAACTAAGACTTGCGAGGAGAGAGAGAGAGAGAGGGGGGGGGGGGGGGGGGGGTTTTCTTGATTGCCCTGACCGAAAGCCACTTGAAAGGGTTTCGAATGCGACGGCGGGCACCGACTTTGGCACTGGTTCTGGAACTGGTTCTGTTTTTCGTTTTTTGTTTTTTGTTTTTTTTTTTTGTGGCAATTGAAATGACACGCGCGCCGCGTTTATGCGGCAATTAATGCTTAAATTTAATTAAATGCATTCTACGAGTGTTTCGAGTGCGTGAGTGAGTGTGAGTGTGAGTGTGTGAGTGTGTGAGTGAGTGTGTGAGTGTGAGTGAGTGCATTCATTCACTTGCCAGGCGACTCAGGCGAGTTTCAATTGCAACTGGAGCAAAGTGCAGCCTACGATAATTGATTTGGCTGGGGAGATCCAATATCCAATCCCCCAATTCATCCCCCCTAATTGATAAGCTAAGTGGCAAGTGGCATTAAATCAGCCCAGCGTCTGCCATTTGCCAGATCAAACACAATTTTCAAACTTGGCAGAATCCCGAATTTCAAAATTCCAAGCGGCTCGCAGAGATCATTAAATACGGTTTTATGGACTGCACCGATGCAGACGAGGGGGAGGCGGAGGCGGGGGCGGAGGAGGAGGCCAAGATTTATGGGCTTGCCATGCCCAGATTTATGTTCTACCAACAGAACAGAACAGAACAGAAGACGCAGATTTGTTGTCGTCATCGTCGTGCTTCTTCTTCTGTCTGTCTGTCTGTCTGTCTGTTTGCTTCCCCTCTGTTTGTCAAAGCAAGTTTTCTTTTCGGTATACCCTAGAGACGGTGTCCATTAGAAATAAATTTAGTTGTATGTAAATGATGTCTATAACAAATAAAAGCAGGCATGCTTTAACCGTAACCTATTCAAGTCTGCTGCTCTACAAGTTCATCTGCTAAATGAACCGGTTCATATCAGTTCCACCACATGAACCTGAAGGCGAGACATCGTTAAGTCGATTAGGAGGACTAGAATTTAATCTGCCCAGCCATGAACTAGTTCAATGCATACAATTGTGAACTAGTTCCGGGTGACTTGGGGTGAATTAAATAAAAAATAAAACAGTTTAAGCCTATTTTGCAAAAGAACCAGGTTCGAACCGAGAAATTAACAATTGACAATCGAGCTGGAGCCTATATGAAGCCATCTTTATCCAAATTTCTTTAGATGTGATCTAATTCGTCTTTATCCAAATTCCTTCAGATATGCTCTATGTTGCCTCTGCTCGATCTATGCCTTAGTTTGTTTGAAAATTACAATTTCTACACATAAGAATAGAGAAAATACAGTTCTTTTTTTATAGAGCTGTCTTTGTTTTACCTTTTCAATCAATCCTTCGCATTGTGGCATCAGCTCTGGAACCAAAAGAACTTTCGATTAATATATTTAGCCATATCATAAATGTGAACTACTTAGTTGCCATCTCTCAAAGCATAGAGTAGTAGCACTTGAATGCATTCAGCATATTCTATATACACATATTTAGTCTAAAGTCAAGCTAGATCAATCCGCTTTTCGCTCTACCTCATAGAACTCAGAGACTATTCGAGCTAGATCCGACAAATTTGGTATGTGATATGCATAGGTTAAGAATATTTGAAAAATATTTTATTTTCTGCTTAAAGACTGCACACAGAATGGGCACAGGGCATATGACAGTCGAGCACTGTCCACCAGAGCAGAGATATGTTTTTTTTTATTAACTTTAAAATTTAACTTTTTCTTTAACATTTCATTACCAAATCTCGCCAGTTGACATGAAGCTAAACATGCTAAATGAGCAGCCAACTGGCCGCGACCTCAAAAGACCCAACGAAATGGCCCAATAACAAGGCCTAAAGAGGGGGGGGGGGGGGGGAGGGGGGAAAGAGAGAGCGGAAGGGGAGGCGATTAACACAAACGTGACACGAGTAGGCTATATAAAATGTAGAATGCGACCTGCTGCAGTGTTGCACAGTGTTGCACGACAACATCAAGTTTTAGTGTTGAACAGCGGGCGCCGGGCACGCGGGGCAGCTCGAGTCCAGTCGGAATCAGGTCTAGCTTGTTGCTGGCGACCAGTTCTTGGCTTGCTTTGATGGTTCAGTGGGTGTGCATTAAGATATTCAAAAGCCATTAACATCGCATTGATGGCTCCGACGGGTAGTTCATAAACTTGCCGCTCACAGAACTAGTTCTGAACTTTTATGTGCCATTTCCTACCCAGCTAATGTTTCAATCAAAAAAAAGACAACTCATTTTCAATATGATTTTTAAATTCGTCAAAAAAACTGCAAAAGATTTGATGAGTTTTTGTTGCTGCATTGTGCGAAAGTTCAAATGAGTGCGTTGCGCTTTAGTACCAAGAAACTGAATTGCAATTTATTTTTAAGGCTTTTTCAACACTTCATTAAGCAAAGAACTAGTTCGCAAAACACATGCGAATCCGCAAGCAACTAAAATAAATAGAAAAAAATAAAAAAATAACACTTTAAGACGCATCGTAAAAACGGGAGAGACGGCGAGAGAGAGCGCGGCCAGTGTTGGTTAATGTGCGGGGCAAGTGTCAATTGGTTGGCGACAAAACAGCAAATGACTTGGACCTGCCCTCAACTTTGGCTTGGCTCCAGCTGTTGTTGTTGTTGTTGGGGGCTTGGGGCACTTAAAGACGCAACATGGCCATGTGGCAACGTGTAGGTGCTGCACTTAATGGCGTCCATAAAGCCGCAATTGCCGCCGCTGCTGCCGCTCGACGATAATGAAGTTGCATGTTTACACTGTGCTACGTGGGTGAAGCGGCGATTTGATGCACATGTACATGTACCTGTCGAATGGGGTATATTGATTCTGTGAGCGTCTTTGCGACCGAATCTTTTTGAAAGAAACAAGACAACAAGAAGTTAAGACGACCTAGGATTTCGGAAATTATGATATAAAATATTGTATATTTTCTTATTTCAGACGCAAAACAAATTTACTTAGTTTTTCGATAGTTTATCTCATTTCTTAACTATCGATAACTATCGACTGGGAGAAAAGATAAGCACATCTCGAATAATATATTAGCTACAGTCAATCAATTTAATTGCGATAGTTTTCCTCATTTCTAAACTATCGATAACTATCGAAAAGACAAGCATAGCTCGATGATGACATTTTTTGGAAATGTAAAACTTCTTTTCAAATGTTCAGCATTGAGTTTTCGGGTTATCTACTCACTTGATCGCCTAAAAATATCGAAAATTCTCGCCAATAAGCACTGAAGTTCTGCAGGAAAACAGAATGCGGCCGAGGCCCTTTACAGGGTATCCTCCGAGGCGAGAACTCGCGTTTAGATCATGCTTCGTTTGGGTTTTAAAGCCAGTTTACCTGGCTTCACCTGCCTCATTAGCAACAACTTTTCGTGTTGACGCGCCCAACAGCCCCTCCACAACGCCACGCCCCCGCCCAGCCCCTATCCCCTATCCCCGCCCCCGCTCCGCCGCCTCTGCTCAGCTGTGGAGAGTGCGCTTTAAGTGTTCCTAAGTAATTACATTTTGTGCAAGCCCCTGCGTGCTATAATCAAAGTAAAGGTGCATTGAACTGGTTCCACCCACAAAATCGATTTCATTGGTAGCCCCTCTCCCAGGCCCCCCCCCCCTTCCCTTGACGGTCCCGACGGTTCGAGGCACCGCAAAACATCGCCTAGCAACGAGACCGCAAAACATCGGATGCACCGTTACTTGATCGATATCGATGAATATCGATTAATATCGATTGTCTGATCTGTTGATCGTGCACTCGTGCGACTTTGCCAGCCTCGCAGTTTTAATGCCCATCGATATGAGTTGTTGGGAAAAAATAATCGATAATTTATTGTTCTCTTCCTCTTCCTCTTACATTTACAGCCTTCTGGTGGGCGCGCCCTTGGACCGGAATCGACAGCCGAACACGAATGAATCGGGCGCCCTGTACAGGTGCCCCATCTCGACGGACTACAACGATTGCGAGCAGGTCATCACCGATGGACGAAGATGTAAGTGGAGAAAAATACGTATAACTAGATGAAGAAGAAGAAATACTAGTATTTTTTTAAATAATAAGCACTACGTATATAATTTAAGCCTAATTTAATTGAGTTTATCGAAAAAAGTAGTCGCGAATGCTGTCAAGATTTTAGTTGAAAATCTGTATTTAATCGAAAACAAATAATGTTAGTTCATAATATGCGAGGTGAAGGTTATTTCAAAAAGAAAGAATTCGAAAATGGAAGCGAAACTAACCAAAGCAAACGATTCTCACATTAGACTTATGTCAAGCTTTTGATAACCTTTAAACGCAGTGACTAACACATTTGCCGCGATCTGTGCGAGATCAGGTTGAGGTTGAGTCTTCGATTCTCTATTTGAACATAAGTATTATCTAGTAACTTGTATAGCTATTATTATTATTTTCCTAGGTTAGTTTCTGTCTGTACATAAAATCGCGTGCAGCTGTATAAAGAACTGTGACTAAAACGTTTCTAACTGTTAGTTAATTACTATAGTTAATCTATATAGTATATAGCTATGGCAACATCTGGCTATATCCATAGTAACATTAATTCTATTTATTGTATAGAACTAGTTTCTTAATCAATATTTATTCCAACACAAACATATATATATTTATTATAATTTCCTTTGTTTTAATTTTCTTTTCTCTTTATTTTTGTTTTCGTTCTCTTCTTTACGTAAATTCCCCATCCAAAAAAAAAACCAAAACAAAACAAATCAAATATATTTATATATATATTTAAAATATTCGGTGCGCATATGGAAAACTCATTTAACTCTCCCAAAAATTATTGACCAACTATTTTCGACATTTACAAAAAACAAAAACCAAACGATATCGAAAATAAAAAACGAATTTATCATTTAGCATCTGGCGGAGCTTATGAACCTAGTAAGTGGTATGGGTGCTTTATTTGTTGTAACACACACAATTTGATCAATTCATTTGTTTGTTAACAAACTTACTTTATGATTTGCATTTGCGCTTTGATTTCTCTCTCACATTATTTTAACCCAACGAAATGCGACGAACGATTAACGCATTCGCGATAAATATTGCGCTATCGATAAACGCATTGAGATTTGCCTAATTAACGCACACTCACAATTTGTATATAATCGAACAATAACAAATCTATCGATAAACGGCTATCACTTCATGTACAGTCACGCACGCATGCCGTAGCTAAAGTTAACGGCACTTGGGGGGGGCCGCCATTTTGTATTTGTTGCATGCGCCGCTAAATGCAGCTGAATCCGCCGAATCAAGCACATGGCACACACACTAACACACACTTAAGCTTGTCTATAAACATACATTTATTCGATTTCTGGCAACAATTTACATGCCAATCATAATATCTTTATCTTTATCTTTATCTTCATCTCTATATATTTATAATATTGTATCGATAATTAGCTACTTATTTATTAGTCTGCTGCCAATTAGCAGCAATCTAGTTGACGCATTTTGACCGAACAATCATTGTAATTAACTAGTTCGTCATATCAAATCATCGCTTAGCGCTGTGAGAACTCGTCGAGCACGATCGCTTCGGAGTTCCTATTTGGCTTTGGGGCTAGTTTTGCATTCGCGTCAGGCTAACAATTTGTTACTTGCCATAAACTATAACTGAATGGCAATTGGCCGCAGCCAACTTAACGATGCTCTAGCGCAGCCAACTTAATGGCATTCGCTGCGAATGCAACCCAGTATTGGGCATGCCGTTGCTTAGCCCAAAAATCATCAACGTCGTACTTTTCGCATTTCCAATGCCGCGACTTGCCTTTCTTCTTATCGCCGTTCCCTGGGGTAATATTAATTTGAACGTTTTTAGGAACGGGCTTTTTTGATTCATTTGGCAAAGCAAATTTATATTTATCTTAAAGCTGAAATTCGAAATACGAAATTCGACCTTTGATTTAGCAAAACTAAAATATATATATGGAAAAGAGAACGAACATTCTATGCTAAAATGTATTTAAATGTGTTTGAACATTTAAGAAAACATAAATAGACTGTGAATTTTTAAATATTTTTAAAGTATTTAATGCCGCTGGTGACAGGTATTAATAGTGTATATAGGGACGGAAACATTATTTTTTCTTCGAATTTAGCTAGAATTTTGTTTTATAATATGGAATTAAGATTTAGAGAAAACTGCATCATATAACAGACAAAAACTATAGTAATCTATACGATCTCAGAGATTATAGGAGGCAACTTTCGTTTGTGTGTGGAAAATATTGTTCCAGCTACAGGGTATTTGTTAGTCGCGCACACTCGACTAGAGCGATTTAACATTGCTTTTGCATGAGACTTTTGTACATTGAAAACAGTTATAGACGATTTGGGAAAGATTTGTATGCCTTACTGCAATGTTTTTGGGCAGTCTCCCTTCCCCCCTCCCCCTCCTCTCTCTCTCTCTCTCGTTAATTTACTGCACAGCTTCTCATTATTGCTATTTTGCGGTTATTTGTTGTCATCACTTGTTGGGCATTTCCCCTGTTTCATTACCAAATTGTTTCGCAGAATTTACAGCTGCGTCAACGTCTGCGACTGCGCTCCATAATTCTTTTTTGATACCCTTACGAAGAGTATTATTCGTTTCTTCACAAAGTATGTCATTAGGGAAACTTGCTATGCAATTTTTTATACTTGCATCTATCTATATCGAAGTCGAACGGATCGGACCACTTTGCTATATAGCTTCGATGTGAATAATTGATCAAAAGTGGACTTCTAATAAAAAATTGTTTTTTTTTTTATACTCAAGCATTTTGTATTCCAATTAAGAATAAATTATCCCAAAATCCTATTCCATTTGAAATTTAACTTTTTTTAGAGAGCTTTGTGGGATATGTTTTATGTAGTATTACATTTAGAAAGAAGTAAAATTGATTTAAGTATGAATAGTGCTTATATCAAGAACCTAAAATACTTAAAACAATCCCAATTTATTCTAAAACCAATTCTGTTCTTAGATATCTTAAGCTCAAGCTTAACTTCCATATGATAAATCAGTCGGAAAGGGTATTCAAATTTCGCCGTGCCGTTCATTTAGTTTTGTTTTCTCTTTTGAAGGGGGACAATTTACTGCCAATTGGCGTCTCATTTAGCTTTAATTATATTTACCCGGCTTCAAATTATTTAAATATTGAGCTGTAAAGTCATTTGCAGCAACAGCTGTGCATATGCCCCTCCCCCTCCCTCCCCTCTCCCTCCGCCGCCGCCGACAATGTTAATGTGCCGTTCGCATTCCAAATATTTGCAAAGCAGCGACGGCGGCGTCGACGTCGACGTCGGCTGTGGCTGTGCCCGTTTTGCAGTTGTTCTTCTTGTTGTTGTTGTTGTTGCTGTTGTTATTTCTGGCCTTTGCTATTGGTAACGCGCGACAATCAGAGCGTGCTGCTGACTGTGGCAGTCGGCCTGCCACTGCCACGGCGCCCGAGAACGTGACAAATTTTACAAAATGCAAAAACCGAAGAAGAAGAAGAAGAAGCAGAAGAAAAAGCAGCAGCAGCAGCAGCAGCAGAACGGGAACAACAACAATTGCAGCGGCATAAAAATAAACTGCGGCAAAACGCAAATTTGTGTGGCATAAAGAAATTCTTGTGCAACATGCGTCTCGACATTTTTGAGCCAAATACCGCACATAGCGATAGACGCGACACGCACCACGCCCCCAACCCCTCCAATGCAGGCCAGCTGGCAACCCAATAGCCCACTGCCAATGCCAAAAACGCGCCGCGCAGTGCAAAGTTCACTGGGCCTGGGCCTGGGCCTGGGCCTATGCCAATAAGAAGACAAAGAAACACACACTCACACACACACACGCACGCACGCACGCAACTGCAGCTGCGCCTAAATCGCGTGGGCCGCAGGTGTGTTTAATTTGTAATGCGACTTTCACTCGGCGCGTTTTAAAACGCGTCAAACCCGTCAAAGCTGCTGCCGCCAGAACAGCCCACGCCCGAAATAAAAAAATAAAAAAACAGGCAGTAAAAGGCGCAGCAGCAATTCAAAAATCATAAATGATAAACTCACCTCTCCATCCAAAACTGCAATCAGCTCTCTTTGCCCCTCTCTCTCTCTCTCACTCTGTACCTCTCTCTTTGCGCTGCGGGCACACTGTTATAGTCATTTATCATATTTCAACACTTTAATGCTTTAAAATGCATTTTAAATCAATTTCGTTACGTTTCACACAAACTTATTAACGCTCGCCCACTCTCTCCATCTCCCTCTCGCTCTCGCTCTCGCTCTTCCTCTCAGCACATCTTTCTATTGCGCATGTGTGTCTGTATTGGTGCAGAGCCGCCTAAGCAGGCGCAAGCAGCAACATTCCAGTCACACTGAGGTCTTGCATCCCGTAAACTTTACAAGGCAATGTTTGGCTGGGATATGTTCATATACTGATTATGGCAGGGACGAGTTCATGACCTACTTTTAATATGGCGAATTAAGAACGTTTAATGAAGGACATGTCTGTGCTTAAAATAAGTTTTTATACAGAGCTACAAAGGGTTGTCAAAAGGTTACAAATCACACTTGCTGGGTAGGGCTGCCATCCTATTTAGAAATACTAAATTTATGTTAAAATTATTTTGTTGCATGTTTAAATTTTTAGTTGAAAAATAATATGCGCTAATCTTTTACTCTTTTACTCGCTCGCTCTCTCTCTCTCTCTCTCCCGCTCTCACTCTCATATGCATTTGCTTAGTCTAAATTGTGCTGCAATCGCATGTCACTTTTGCTTCATGCTTCGTTTAGTCGTATATTTTGTTTACACTTGTTGCTGTTGATATCATTGTTTTTGTTGTTGTTGTTGTTGTTGTTCTTGCTGTTTCTCTTCTGTTGCACATGTGCTGAACAGCGCGACTCGTTTCTGCAGACATCTATAAGTAGAGCAAGCCCCGTTTCCCCCCACACTTGACTGAATACGTCGGACCCCACTGCACATGTGCGCAAGGTCTGCCTGCATTTGTTTTTCCCCTGCTGCGTGCTTTCTCGCTTTCTCTCTCCCTCTCTCTCTCTCTCGACCGATCAGCGTTTTTGCTCATGTTATTTAACAGCTGTAAATAACAGCTTAACAGCATCAATAGATGTTACCGTTGCTCGCTCGCTGTAAATACTGTAAATTTGAGTTTAGACTAGCATTTATTTTTTCGAATATCTTGTAAAATTAAAAATTAAAAAACCAACTGTACATATGAATACATAATTACATATTGTTTTTAATGCATACTCTATCACTTATGTTGTTATTGATGTTGTTGTTATTGTTGTTGTAACTGATGCGACACATACACACAGACACAGACACACACACACCCGCACATACACACACACATATTTACACATACACACACACACTTATACAAATTCGTCACACACTTTGCTAACAAGAACAAAAAAACTACTTTGCACTTTTCTATCTGCTTACTGGCGCCACCTACAGCCTACGATGTCGACGAACTGATACCGCCATCTAGCGACGAAATCAAGGAGGGACAATGGATGGGCGTTACTGTACGCTCCCAAGGCCTAGGCGGCAAGGTAAGCACCAGCCCTGCGATTTAATCCCACTCTATGATACGATATTATCTAACTGATTCTGGATTTTATCTCAACCCCCCACCCCCACCCCCACCCCCTCGTCAGGTGCTGGTCTGTGCGCATCGCTACGTGACGATTGTGCGCGAGAATCGCTATGGACAAGGTCTGTGCTATGTCCTGACCAACGATCTACAGTTCGACGAGGTCTACGAGCCATGCAAAGGACGCTCCGTGCAGAGGTAGGTGAAGAAAGCCCAGAAAATTCAACGGAATGAGAAAGGATTAAGGGCCTAAAACTATCAAGATATTGTATATTCTATATTCCGCATCCTTGGGGATCTGAACCCTAAACTAAAAAACATAGTCGAAGCTGTAAACCGATGACATTTGGAGCTGGTAGATCTGACTTCCATTAGGATTAGGTTAAATTCAGCTTACTTCATTCCCTAAGGATCTTAGGGAATACCAAAAAAATATATATATTACAACTTTAAAGATAGTATCTTTAACCCAAAGTGGAAAACTAGCGAACCATGTAGGTGATAGAACTCTATAAACCAAAATTGGGACTTTTGTTGGGAGTTATGTATAAAGCATAAAAATCAAAAGAAATTGATAAGTTAAATACTTCTTCAATCCATGGGAAACTTGAAATCCTTAGTTTAAAGTTGGAATCCTTGAGACGCGATCGAGTTGCCAGAAGTCCTTCCAAAAAATATAGAAAATCCACAGAAAATTGGGAAAAACGAGAAAAGCTTTGCTTCCGCAAGGAAGAAACTTGGGGACCCGAGTTTTGGCGTACAAACAAATATAAAATATTGTGTCGAGCATATTAAAAGCAGAAACATAAATTTCTCGAATGAATCAATTCGAAATGGCAAATTTGTCATGGTCAGGTTTGATTCATTCCCATTCAAAAAAGAGAAAAAAAAAAGTGTCAAGGTGAAGTTTCAAAAACGAAACTCTCCCACAAAAAAAAGGGCGGGGGGTGGGGGGAACTCAGCGCGTGTCTAGCTTCAGTTTAAGCCAATTAGCATGCAGCGTGTGTGTGTGAGGTTAGGGCGAAGCAGGAAAGCAGGGACAGAAGGGACAGGAAGAGGCGAGGGACGTGCTGGTCAGGTGTGACAGCGATGACGTCGTCGTCGTCGTCGTCGTCGTCGTCGTTGCAGGAACTCATGTCATCAGGGCGAAATTTCAATTTATTTAAATGTCAGCACAAGCGGTGGAAGGGGGCGGAGGCAGGGGCAGGGGCAGGGGGCAGGGGGCAGCTGGGTAAACAGGGTGTGCCCAAAAAAAAAAACATAGAATAGATTGCTTTATGATGTGATATGGCATAATGTGTGAGGCATGCTAGATGACGTGCACCCGGACTTGGACATGCAATTTTTCATTGCGCTGGCATCGCGTGCCTGACCCTGGACTCATTATACCCTTCATACCAAATGCAAGAGAGAGTAGTTTAGTTGTTGGGCAAGGTTCGTCTGGCCTCAGAAATCTTAGAGCTAGAGTTAGGACTCCTCATGAGCCTTCTTCAAAGATCTCGCCATCGCTAAAATTTCCAAACGTCACAGTTTGAAAGTCACTACCTTCGGGGTTACAGTTTTACATTCAGCTACCGAATCAGGAATCAGACGGAATTCATCTACGTTCACAGTTTGTCAATCACTGTTTACAGTCTTAAAGTCACCAGTCCAATTAGCATATAGTTACAGCTTTAATTAGTAAGTTATTCCCTTAAGTCACAGTTTGAAAGGCACTGTGTTGGTGTAGGTCAGTGCTAAAGTCAATAATAGCCAGATAATGCGGAGAGTAGTTTTTGCTTACAATTTAAAAGTCACCAGTTATAGTTTCTATTCAAGTTACCGTTTGACAGCCACTGCCTTCGAGGGCTTACAGTCTTGGATTCACCAGCTAAATAATGATGAAGTAACATTCCAAAGTCAGAGTTTGTGAGCCACATATTACAGTCTTAAACTTTCCAAATTAAGAATCGGGAAGTAATTACCTAAAGTCAAAGTTTGAAAGTCATTGGTTACAGTTTAAGAATTGTCATCATAAGCATGATAATTCCTTGAGTCCCCGTTTGAAAGTCACTGCGCTCGTAGGTTACACGGTCTTACAGTCACTAGCCACATAATCAGCAAGATTTTCCTAAAGTCACAGTGTTAAGCTGCTTGGTAACAGTTTTAGAGCCACCAGCCTAATAAACAACAGTTAATTTTGTCAAGCAGTAAGTATTTTTACAGTTGGTAAGTCATTGGCTATTGTTTTAGAGTCAGCATCTTAAGGTGGATAATACCTTAAGTCACAGTTTGTTATTGATTATAGTTTGAGAGTCAGCGTGTTCGGGTTGAGAGCTCCAAGAGTTACAGTTTGAAAGTTGCTTGCTTCGGGCGGGCTACAGTCTGAGATTCGCCAGCTAAACAAACTGAAAAGTAATTCCCAAAGTTACAGTTAGAAAGCCACCGCCTTCAAAGGCGTTACAGTTTGAGAGTCAGCGTGTTCGAGTAGAGAGCTCCAAGAGTTACAGTTTGAAAGTTACTAGCTTTGGTTCTGAGAATCGGCAGCTAAACAAACTGCAAAGTAATTCCCATAGTCACAGTTAGAAAGTCACTGACCTGACAGGGGTGACAGTTTGAGAGTCACGCAAACTCTTTTCGACTTAATCTCGTTTAAACATAATGAACACACGGTATTTAGCAGTCGGTCACCGTCCGACTGCCATATTCTTGGCCATTTATTAATGTCGTGCAATCCACACACACACACACACACACACACACACACATGCAGGCAACACGAGGACTACGGCTTCTGTCAGGTGGGCACCTCGGGCGCCCTGCTGGATGACAATACAATGGTGCTGGGCACACCGGGCCCGTTCACGTGGCGCGGCGCCATTTTCGTGACCGAGATTGGGGGCGAGTATCTGGAGCGTGACAAGAATATGTACTATAGCGATCACTCCGACGCCAGCTCCCCGGTGGATAAGTACAGTTATCTGGGCATGGCCGTAACGGGCGGCCGTTACTTTGGGGAGCGGATGTCGTATGCGGCAGGTGCGCCCCGGTCGAACGGCCACGGCCAGGTGGTAATCTTCGACAAGGCGAACACAAGTCCGATACCCGTGCGGCTGATCATCGACGGGGAGCAGTTCGCCTCGAGCTTCGGCTATGAGCTGACCACGGCGGACATCAATGGGGATAAGAAACCGGATCTGATTGTCGCCGCGCCCTTCTACTTCTCGAAGAGCGACGGCGGCGCCGTCTATGTGTATCAGAACGCCAAGGATATGCTGCCCAGGCAGGCGACGCTGCGTCTGACCGGCGCCCTGGAGAGTCGCTTCGGTCTGGCGCTGGCCAACATTGGGGATCTGAACAAGGACAGATGCGAGGATCTGGCCGTGGGCGCGCCCTACGAGGGCGACGGCGTCGTCTACGTGTATCTCGGCTCGCGTCAGGGCCTCAGCGAGAAGCCCTCGCAGCGGATTCAGGCCTCCGAGCTGGGCCGCAATCTGCCCCAGCCGATACGCACCTTTGGCATCTCGCTGGCGGGCAACACGGATCTCGATGGCAACTCGTATGTGGATATGGTTGTGGGCGCCTTGCCCGCCGCCGTCGTCCTGCTGGCCCGGCCCATCATCAACATCCAGACGACCTATCGCAGCAACGAGACGCGCAATATCGATCCGAATCGTGCCGGCTGCCGCATGGATGTGTCCACGAATCTAACGTGCTTCACGTTCGAGGCGTGCAGCAGCATCGATCCGCACGAGCAGCTGACCAAGGAGCTCAATCTGATGCTCAGCGTCGAGGCGGAGACCTTCGAGCATCACAAGAAATTCTCGCGCGTCTTCTTCGATCGGGATAACAAGCGCAGCAACATAATCAGTCGACCGGTTCGCGTCCGCACCGATGGCCGGATCGAGTGCCAAATGGTCACCGGTTACATCAAGGCCAACACTCGCGACATCCAGACGCCCATTCGCTTCCGGCTCGACTACAAGCTGGAGGAGCAGCCGCTGGCCGATTCGCCGCTCGACCGGCTCAATCCCATCCTTGACCAGACGCAGGCCTATATCGAGTTCGAGGGCACCTTCCAGAAGGATTGCGGCGATGATGATCTCTGCGAGAGCGATCTGCGACTCCAGGCGGAGCCCAATCTGACGCCAGAGGGTAAGTTCCTCACTTCTAACTAGTTCCCGGAACCAGTCGCAGTTCCAGTTCCAGTTCCAGTTCCAAACGAATCACAGCATTAAGCTTATCTGCGCTTTAAATTAGAAAAAAATGTATTAATTTGTTCATAATGTGAGTCACTTTTGGTTCCTGGAACTGATTAGTTCCTTGAACTAATTCCATTACAATCGAATTAGACTTGCAGTAGCTCACAGAGCACAAATGAGTCACTTTAGTTCATGGAATTAACCAGAACTAACCAGTTCCTTGAACTAGTTCCATTACAAAAGAATCCGAGTTGCAGTAGCTCGTTGGGTACAACTAATATTTAAAAATAAAAGCAATACCTTAAATTCTTTCCAAAATGAGTCACTTTTGGTTCCTGGAACTGATTAGTTCCAGTGAACCAGTTCCATTACAAAAGAATCCCAGTTGCATTAGCTGATATAGCACAACTGCTTGTTACATATGAAAACAATTAATCAAATTGTTTCCGAAATGAGTCACTTTAGTTCTTTGAACTAGTTCCATAACAAACGATTCACAGTTGCAGTAACTCACAGAGTACAACTGCTATTTAAATATAAAAAAAAAAAAAACAATTCATCGAGGGCTTCCCCTAAGTTAGGTCATTTAGTTCGCGGAACTGGTTCCGAGCAGCTATGCACCAGTTCCTTGCTGAAGAACCACTTAATGAACTTATTTTTGTTGCTGGTTTAACATTTAAATAGTTTATCTCAATTAAAATAGGCTCAGTTCATTGAACTGGCTCACTAAAGAACGCGTATAAGCTTTGAGGCGCTGGAACCATTTCCGAGTTCCAGTAAACCAGTTCAAATTCCGTTTACATAATTCATCACTCTGAGAATCTGATTAGAAATTTAAACTGTTTGACTTTACTTAATCAGCTTAGTTATTGAACTACTTTCAACTAGTGTGAACTAGTTCGCAAATCGTTTTTGTAACTAGTTCACCGTTTGTTTGCTTTAATGTGTAACTAGAGCTTGATGATTAAATGGTATTAAAATAGTTCCTTTATGGAACTAGTTCAGATCCGTGAACTAGTTCAGTTCCGTGAACTAGTTCATTTCCGTGAACTAGTTCACAATGAAAAAAAAAATATTTCTAATTGAATTTTGTCTGTAACATTTGTTCTTTTTCAGACGGTCAATACTCACTGATCCAGGGCAACAAAACGGAACTTGAGGTTATGGTGAACGTGAGCAATCTGGCGGACTCGGCGTACGAGGCGCAGCTCTTTATCGTGCATCAGAAGAGCGTCTCCTACATAGCGACCAAGAAGCCGGTAAGTGAACAGCTGAAGGCTCGTCTTCTACTTCTCCAATAAATTCCCATCTCATTCGCCAGACGAACGCGACGTGCAACAGCTTCAACACGACGCTGGTGGCCTGCAGCCTGGGCAATCCGATGCTGCGGGGTACCACGACGCACGTAACGATACGGTTCGATCCGAACAGTTTGGAGCTGGAGGAGTCACAAATGGTGTTCCACATCTTTGCGAATAGCACGTCGAAGCTGGTCGGTGAGCAGAAGCCGGAGCGACGGCTGACCGTGCTGATGGTGCGCCGGGCGGAGCTGACGGTGCGCGGCTGGGTGAATCCGGAGCAGAGCTTCTATAGCGGCGCGGCCAAGCTGCAGGACTCGCCCATGGAGCTGGACGATGTCGGCTCGCCGCTGGTGCACACCTATTCGATCTTCAACGAGGGTCCCTCGGCGGCGCCCAAGGTCCAGCTGGTGATCTCCTTGCCGCTGATGCTGGAGAGCGGCCAGGGCCAGGGCCGGGAGCTGGAGCAGGGCGCCAAGGATCAGTATCTGCAATATTTGGAGGACAAGCCGAGCATCGAGACCGGCCAGGGCGAGTGCACGGTGGCGCCCGAGTACATCAATCCGCTCAAGCTCGCCTCCAAGGTGCCAGCCAGCCTGCGCAGCGCCTCCTACCTGAACGCGCCCGCCTCCATGACCAAGTGGCCGCTCCACCGACAGCTCTCGGCGACGCCAGCCAAATCTCTCAATCTCAGCCAGAGCCAGAGCCAGCACAAGTCTGGGCAGGATTACGGCCGGGCGAATCGCTTGCCGCGCAACACGCTGGAGCGCATTGTCCGGCCGGAGCGCTTCATGGACGGACGGATGGAGGCCGGCGTCAAGGGCAAGAAGCAGCAAATTGTCGAGCTCAACTGTGACAAGCTGACGGCGCACTGCATCAAGATCCATTGCGAATTTTTCGCGATGCCGGCCAAGACGGAGGCGCAGGTCACCATCAAGGCGCGACTCTGGAACTCGACGCTGGTCGCCCAATATCCTCGGGTCGATCTTGTCCGCATCATATCCACCGCCCATGTCAAAATACCCCAAAACTTTGGTGTCGAGCAGCTCGAGAACAATGACAATGTCTTGGTACGTACGAATTTCGAATTCTTGCATTATTATTTAGACAAAAAAGGGCAAATTAACTTGTTTTTGAGCCATCGTGCTGGTTCGAACTCGGCACAAACTACAAATAATGAATAAGTTTACGAGTAGCCAAGGTTTGAACTAAGACTAGGCTACAAGCGTGTGTAAGAGTTGAGCTTACCAACTGAATCTTAAGGTTGGTTTGAGCCAGCGACTTTTTTTCTTGGGCTTGCAGCCCTGTTAAAAATAACTATTGAACATTTATTCTTAAACAACTTTCAAACGAACTGAGAGCCAAAATCTTAAAGCCTGCAATTGAAATTTTGATTGAAATCCACGCTTAAGTCTGTTTTATGGCGAATTCCACTCGCAAGTGTGGAATATGGGTGTAAAAAACGATTGTTTTTGCTTCAATAATGTCTGACCTAAAAATGAATGAATTTAATGACTTTCGAAAGTCATCTTCAAAAATCTATGCAAATTGACATTTAAAAACGGTTTCACAGCTTTCGACAAATTCACTTCGCTGGGTGAAAATCGTCGTCGTGTAAATTGAAAGCTTGAAAAAGTGAAAAGAGAGAGAAACAAGCGAAATCTAGCCGAATATAGGTTAGTACATATACATAGCATAAATATGTGTACTATGAGAAATTAACCGGCGTTGCTCGACCAAAGCAAATGAATAATATTGAAAATGTGGCACGGACAGCCTTTTGCCTTGCATTAAATGGGGGAATATAAAGTTAAACAAGCAACTTATAGAATTTTGAAGCATTTCGGGTAAATTAGAACCGGCGACTTCTCGCCTGTTAGTTCAAACCCAAAGCCTGTCGGTCAGAATCGACATAGATATTGATATACATATATATAAATTAGACAAAGCGAGTCAGTTATAGTTACATTTCCCTTCGACAGGTGGAGACACGCGCCTATCCGGAACTGTTGGACCAGCAGCGGGAGACGCATACGCCGCTGTGGATCTACATATTGGCCGTGCTGGGCGGTTTGCTGCTGCTCGGCGCGTTCACGTATGCGATGTGGAAGTGCGGATTCTTTAAGCGAAAGCGGCCAACGGATCCAACGCTGAGCGGCAATCTGGAGAAGAATAACGAGGAGAAGCCCTTCCTAGGCGCCAAGAGTAGCCATAATGTTTTCTAACAAGAGGGCACCGTCGGCTGGGATCTGGTGCGACGCATTGCACCCGCCAGGAAGCGCACAAGGCTCCGGCTCCGGCTCAGGCTCAGGCTACGGCAGCTGCTGCTGCTGCACACCACGCCACACTACAAGCAACAACAACAACAACAACAGCAACAACAACAACCATGTGGCTGCAGCTGGCGCAACAACAACAACAACAACAACAACAATGGGCCTGAGGATGAGTTCGATGTGTTATCCCTGACGCCGCCGCCGCCGCCGCTGAGCGTCTTGAGTTGGGGCAGCGATGGCTACTACCAGGCCAGCGCCGCCTGGTGGGGCCACATGTGAGGAGGCGGAGGCGCAGGCTGAGGCGAAGGCGGAGGCGGGGCAGCAGCAGGGCGCGGAGCACCTCACGCACTTAACAGATTCTGGTTGTGGGACTTTCAATGTGCCATTTTGTTTACTTAAGTCGCGTCGCCAGCTGGCAAATCCGAATACAAATCCGAATACAAATCCGAATACAAATCCGAGTACAAATCCGAATACAAATCCGAATACAAATCCGAATACAAAGCCGAGTACAAATCCGAATACAAATCCGAATACAAATCCGAATACAAATCCGAATACAAATCCGAGTACAAATCCGAATTCAAATCCGATTACAAATCCGAATACAAATCCGAATACAAATTCGAATACAAATCCGAATACAAATCCGAATACAAATCCGAGTACAAATCCGAATTCAAATCCGAATACAAATCCGAATACAAATCCGAATACAAATTCGAATACAAATCCGAATACAAATCCGAATCGGAATCCAATTCCGAAACCGAATGCAAGTCCAAACCGAAGTCCAAATCGGAATCCAAATCCAAATCGGAATCCAAATCCGAATCGGAATCCAAATCCGAATGGGAATCCAATTCCGAATGCTAATTCAAACTGAGTCCAAATCGGAATCCAAATCCGAATCGGAATTTAATTCCGAAACCGAATGCAAATCCAAACCGAAGTCCAAATCCGAATCGAAATCCGGATCGGAATCCGAATTCAAATCCGAATCGGAATCCAAATCTAAATCCTAATCGGAATACAAATCGGAATACAAATCGCAATCCGAATCCAAATCGTAATCGCACTCCGAATCGGATTTGGGATTCGGATTGTCTGACGCTTTTGCCAGCGGGTCGATTGCATTGTCCGTTTAGTCTTAAGACTCGTTATATGCATCCATTTGCCTAGGTTATAGAAAGGGCTTTTGACCAAAACACACACACACGCGTACATCATTCAATCAATCATTCGCCAGATCATGGAGTTCTATCGAAATTGTGCACACATAACCTCACTTTCTCAGCTTTTCACACAACAACAACAAACTAAAACAATGTGACCATATTTGTTGCTCGTTCCGATTTCCGAGGCACTTGAAAGTTTGTCTTCTTCTGCCTGTGTGTTGCCCTCTCGCTCGCACTGGGGCAGTGCCATCGAGCTGGCAACGCATTTCGCCGTCGATTCGATTCGGTTAGATTTCTTTTGCCGCCGCCTGGTCACACTTGTGCACATTTTAGTGGGCCCAGCTTTGTATCATATTTGTTATTTATATAATGCTTAAGATTGGCTTTTAAGTACAGTTCAAAATAATTCCGAATCCCTATTTTAAATATATCAACGACAAAAGCTCGAAGCCCAGCCCCCCCCCCCCCCCCTCCCACCTTCATCTCCCCTGACGACACACACACACACACACACGCATGCAAACGAATAATTATTACACTGCCAGAAATGACGTAATACGAAGTTCCAAAATTCTCGAAATGTTATTGTGTGAAAAGTATTAAGTCTCTATCTAACTATTTCTTAGCCAACCCACAACAGATGCAATTCAACTCAACCATTTTTTTTTTTATCCTAATCTTAAGCTTAATTTAATCCAGCAAAAAGAGAAGTTAAAAAAATCGAAGAAAATCGAAAAAAAAAAAATGCATTAATGTGTCTTTTAAGTTCCAAGCTGTTGCATATACAATACATTAGAGCATTATTTTAATCTGTGTCGCATAAATAAATATAATTTAAATATAAATCTAAATATATATATTTATATATATATCTATATTATGTAGCTGTATATAAGTATTAGTTTTTGGCATTTAAGTTTTAGCAAGGTTCAAAGCGAGTTCCGTGCACTTCTCGCTAGTTGTACATAGCTTTCTTAATTTTAATAATTTTTTTGTCCATTTCCACTTTAAATTAAATTAAACACTTTTTTTAAATACACTTTTAGTTTGGCATTTAATTGGGAGGCTTGAGATCTTGCCTGACTGGCGCCAGCTTTTGGCAGCTGTTTGAACTGTGCTTCAAGCGCCGCCTCAAACTATGTTACGAAAATGTCCAATAGATGGCCAAGTTGCATCCAAGTTGTCGTACACATAGTTTGCCTGACTGGCGCCAGCTTTGGGCAGCTATTGAAACTGCTTAACGCGTCGCCTGCAAGCATGTTACAAAAATTACCAATAGATGGCTAACTTGCCTAACCGTCAGGACTAACGCGTTTTATGACTATTTAAGTGAATGCTTTCAATTGGCGCGCCAGTGGCGAGTGGCGCCATCTATGCAACGACGAGCGAAGCGTTATTTAAATTTCACATTAACGGCGCGCGCACAAAAGTAGGCAATGGAGAAAAACACAGCACATATGACCGACTAGTCAAATGCCCTGCGATTATAACTTTCAAGTGATTCTTCTTTATTTTTTTTTTTAACGTTTTTATTTGAATTGCTTATCAACTTAGAATTCGGCATAAACTAAAATGGTTTTTCTTCACATTTTTGTAGTTTTTGTATATGAAATTACACTAAATAAGAATACGCACACAAAAATTAGTAAGTGTATTAATGGAAGCATAACTGTTTGCAGCATTAACAAAATTCATAGATTACAGTTAAATGTAATGCTTTTTTTTTTGTTTTGTTTTTGTTTTTTTTTTTTTATTTTTGATACAAATTTTTTGTTACATTTTTGTCTTTTTCGTTGTTGTTGTTTTTTGTACAAAGTAAATGTATTTAAATATATGTAGGTGTGTGTGTGTGTGTGTGTGTGTGTGTGTGTGTGTATAAAAATTAATGATAAATCAATAAAAACGAGAAATTATATGTATATATGTATATAGGAAAATGTGTAACTGGAAGAGAAAAACTTGGTTTTTTTTGTTGTTTTGCTAAACAAATCGATATCGTTATCGATATTGTTATCGATAACCAATTGTTAGGTTAGGTTGAGGGAAGACAACGTTTCATCGTTTTTTTTTTTCTTGAATTTCGTAACGAAAAGAGGAAGAGCTGATGCGCGTGTGTGTGTGTGTGTGTGTGTGTGTGTGTGTGTGTGTGTGTGTGTGCGTGTGCGTGTGTGTGTGTGTGTGTGTTTCTCAAGAACCAAAACTTGTGCTTAAATTAAATATAGAAATAATTTTGTTTACATATATATATATGTGTGTGTGTGTGTGTGTGTGTGTGTGTGTGTGTGTGTGTGTGTGTGTGTGTGTGTGTGTGTGTGTGTGTGCGTGTGTGTGTAAGTATATATGGACTATAGTTTTAATGTATGCGTAAAGCAGTTGATATAAGAGATAGAATGTAAACGTAACCTTTTTCATAATTAAATACATACCAAAATAAAAAAAAAAGAATAATAATATAATAATTATAATAATCATATTTAATAAAATAAAATATATTTATATAAAAATAATAATAATAATGCAAATAATATAATAATAAATAATAAATATGCTGCTTGCACGTTGCTTTCCGCTTTCTGCTTCTTCTTCGTTTTTTTCTTTAACTTTTTTTTTTTTTTATTTATTTTTTTTTGTATAAAATTATTGTTTAAGGCACTTTGAGAATTTGATTTACACCCATTTTCAAGTTGTATTTAGCATTTCGTTTTGTTTCGTCTAACTTGTTAATGCTTCTTCTTGCAAATTGACATAAATAGTTAAAAAAAAAAAAAAAATAAGAACAATAATAAATTAATTGGGGAAAAGAATTAAATATGTGAATTAGTTGTGCGTTGCGTTGTTTATAAATTAATTGAACAGTTTTTTTTCAGCTCATGTTATTCATATATCTATATATATATATATATATCTATATATATATGTATTTGTATAGCTAGGTTTTGGAGGCAACTCGTGTAGAAAATGTTTACAAAACTTTAATAATAATTTAATTAATTAATTGCCTTAAGTTAGGACTTCTTTTTGTCTCATGCAAAAACAAAAAAAAAAACTCTTAATTACATTTTAATTATTAATTAACACTGTGCTCAGTTTTTAATTATTTGCATTTTTTTTTTTTTGTAGTTTTTTTTTTCGCTTGATTCGTTTTTACAGCAAAGGTTGAAGAACAAGCGGCGTAAAGGGGGAAAAACGCTTACTTTGCAACACTTGAACGCAGCTAACAACACTGGTTTTCGCTAGCTATCGATTGTTGTGCGCGTGTGCGCGTGTGTTGGTTAACGTTTATCGCTTCACTTTGCCATACACATAAATAGCTTAAATAGTATGTATACATACATACATACATATACATATATGTATGTATTTGTATTTGTATATGTATTTGTTTGTGCATAAATATAGTTCGTCTTAGTCTAGATATTATTATTAATTAACTGCACCCAGAAGAAAAGATTGTGTGTCTAATAAATTAAAAAAATTATATAGTTGTATATACAAACAAACATACATGCATATATATGCGTGTATGTATGTGTGTGCGTGTGCGTGTGCGTGTGCGTGTGTGTGTGTATAGTTGTAAGCAAAGTTAACATAATGTATTCGTTCCATCCGATTATATATATATATGTATATATATATATATTCAATAAAATTATCAATGGTCAAATAATGTCTGTGTGTGTGTGTGTCTATGTGTGTGTGTGTGTGTGTGTGTGTGTGTGTTCGTTTCATAAATTATTAACAGTAATTGTTTTTATGCATATGTGACAAAATAAATTATGTTTTTTCTCTCTTTCTTTCTTTCTTAATAAACAACAAATTTGCAGCAGAAATTCAAATTAATAAAAAAACAAACTATTACAAAAAATTTTACGGCAAAAATTAAGAAAAAAATAAAAAAAAAAAAAGTTTTGGAGGTATTATTCATATTCAACTCGTTTCACACATAGTTTCAATTTTTTTATCGTTTATCGCTAGCGCAAAAAAAAATATATATATATATAGATAATTCAACTCTCAATATATATATATATATATACATATACATATACATATACATATACATATACATATATATATATATATACATATATATATGCATATATATGCAGACAACATTTGTTTTATTACATAAAATTTAGCAATAAATTAAAAATTTCGATTGTTCTTTTTTTGTTGTTGTTGTTTCTTTTTTTTTCTTTTTTGCAGTGTTGGAAGACGCGCGCCTTGTGTCTATCGATAGGCGCTGACTTTTGTTTGTAAGTGTTACTAAACAAAGAATTTTTTCCGTATATAAATATTAAACAAAAGCGACAAGTGCAGTTTTGTGGGACGGGGGGCGGGGGGGGGAGAAGGGGCGGGGGGACGGGGTAGTCGTGTGCTGTGGCATCGATATGCGTGTTATCGATAAATGCAGCGCGTTTGTGTGTGTGTATGTGTGTGTATTGCGACCGGGCGGGGGGCGGGGAAAAGGAGGGAGGGAGGGGGGGGGGGGGGGGGGTGTCTATATCTATCGATTGTACAGTCCGTAGTTTTGTTGATTTGTTTTTGTTTCTTCCTTCTTATTTGTCCAGTATTTAAATTAAAGACTAAATATATAGTCGATATATAAATATATATATATACATATATACACACATATATACACACATATATACATATATATATATATATAAGATCTTGTTTGAGTCAGTGAGTAAATGAGAGATAGACAGATAGATAGATAGATAGAGAGAGAGAGAGTGTGTGTGTGTGTGTGTGTTTGTGGATATTGGGGGAGGGGGAAAAACGGCATATGGTGAATTTCCTTTTGTCTGTATTCACCACAAAGGTGGCGCCGCCGATTACAAGAAACTCTCCTGCGGAATGATCGGATATCGATTAATTGTCTGAGATTTTTGCAATAAAATTGTGGCGGCTGTCGATGAGCTCAAACGATTAAAAACGGGCAGCCGTGGCGCCTCCTCGTGCTGTTGCAACGGCGAGCTGATGCTCTTCTGCAGCAGCTGCTTGTTGTTGTTGTTGTCGCTGTTGTCGCTGTTGTTGCTGTTGTTGTTGTTGTTCTCGTACTGCGCTGACGACGACGACGACGACGGCGGCGGCGGCGTATGCACCGGCGATATGGGCGCATTTGGGCTATCCGGAGGCGTGGCCGGCGCCAAGCCGCACGCCGAGGACGTCGACGAAGCCGAGGAGGCGTGCCCATTGCCCGTAGTACCGTTACAATTGTTGGGCATACTCAAGTAGGCGGCCGCCTCATGGAATGGGAAATTTGTCAGCGAATTTGTGGGCGACAGCGAGAGCGAGCCGGTCGGCGATTCGCGGTCCGAACCGGTGCTCATGCTCAGCGGCGGGCTCAGCGGCAAAAAGTATTGGCTGCTGCTGCTGTTGTTGTTGTTGCTGGTCAGCTGCGCAGGCTTCTGGAACGTTTTGGCCGCCTGTTGTTGTTGTTGTTGCTGCTGTTGCTGTTGCTGCTGTTGTTGCTGCTGCTGCTGCTGCTGCTGCGCACGCGCCTCGTCCGCATTGTGTACGAAGTGGCAGCGCGGTCCGTAGGGACAGAAGCCGACGCTGTGAAAGGTGCGACAATATTCGGTCTTGTACTTGGGATGACGCTGCAAGTTGCGCAACTCGTGATAGCCGTGGGCGAATTGACACTTTTCGCCGTATTTGCATTCGCCGGCCTCCTCATACGGACGACACAATTCCGTCTTGTAGCTGCAGGGTTAACGGGATAGTGGGAGAGAGAGAGAGAGAGAGAGAGAAAAAACATAAGTACATTTGCACTCGACGAAAGCTTTGCATTTTGTAGGCGTGCACTTGACGAAAGCTGGGCAGCTGGAAGTCTACAAAATTGCATGCGCTCGACTGCGGCCCCGCTGCAATTGCCTATCGGGAGTTCCAAGTTTCGAGTTTGCTCTAAACTTGTTGCACAAACATGTTGCGTTTGGCTGCCTGCTGCAGTCGCTTGAAATTAGCTTGCCTATGGCTGAAGCTAGCTTTTTACTAGCTGAAACACTATTTAGCTTTTTTTTTGACTTTGAAACTCGAACAACTCAGCAGTCCAATCGAACCTTATTTCGCTTAGAGCCTGTTGCACAGGCATGTTGCGTTCGGCTGTGTGCAAACAGGATCTCGCCGCAAACCTGTCTCACGCTCAACTGTTGCGCAGGCGTATTGCGACAAGCGAATTCCACACAGAGTTGCCACCAGTTACTAAAACTGGCAGCTTAATTATTTTGAAATTTTTTATATTTAAATTATTTGCATGTGAAATAAAAGTAAAGCATTGAACTGCTGCTAAAACTGTCTAGCTTATTATAGAAATTATAATTAAATACAAAAATATACCCGTTTAATATAAATGCACATTTTTGTTTAGGTGGCAACCCTGATTCTATAGTCCTTTATACTCAGGCTCGCAGCAAGCGCGAACTTCGCCGTACGCCACGCACTCCCACACACGCAACATGTTCAATTGGAACTTAAGAAGAAGAAGAAGCTCTACTTACCGCGATGTGTTCATTGGCTGCTGCGGCGGCAGCGGCTCCGACTGCGTGCGCTCCAACTTGCGGTGCAGCGTTATGTTGCTCAGATTCTCAATGATGGTCACCAGCGAAGCAACTTGCGGCTGCTGCTGCTGTTGCTGCTGTTGTTGCTGTTGTTGTTGTTGTGTCAATTGGCTCAGCCGCTGAGCCGGCTGTGAGATGGTTCGCGTTAACGGTCCATGCAAGCGATGATGCTGCTGATGCAGCAGTTGCTGCTGCTGCTGCTGCTGCTGAAGATGATCCTTATCGGTTAGGTGCTGTTCCATGCTGGCGTCCAGGATGTGATCCAGTTGCTGCTGCTGCTGTTGCTGCTGCTGTTGCTGCTGCTGCTGCATATCACTGACAACCTGTAACAAGACGCAGCAAAAAAAAGCAAACAATTAATATCAGCCGAGCTTTCGCGCTGCGCGCCTTTTGCACTGATTGCCTGCCTCTCGCTCTCTCCCTCTCTTTCTGTGCAGCTCATTTCGCAAACAAAAGCAACAAAAAAGCGCGACAAAATGTAGCGAATGTGCAAAGGAGACAGAGGAGCAGAGCAGCGGCAGCGACACACACACACACACACAGAGAGACGCGCTTAAATGGGCGACACACACACATACATAATACTTTTACTTTTAACTTGACCTATAAGTAAAGAGTAAAGAGCAAAAGCAAAAGCAAAAGGCGCTAGCTCAATTGCTGCTTGTCTAGCTAGCGACGTCGACGGCGACGTCGGCAGCGCAGTTAGCTAAAATTAATTTTGGGCCGCCGCAGCAGTTACTTGTAATGGTAATGATATTGCAAAAATAAAAATAAAAATAGCAGCCAAATGTTATATGTATGCATATATGTAATTTTCCAGCCATTAACCAATATAACAACAACAGCAATAACAGCTACAACAATGGCAACATTAACAACACGCACACGCACACGGACATGGCGACGGCGACGGCGCCGCAAGCTCTCCACACACAGCTGCTCAATACGGCAATGCCCGTTCGCTCTCCACTCTACTTCACTTCGCTCCAACCCGCTCCAACCCGCTCCAACCCGCTCCAACCCGCACCAACCCGCTCCCATCTACTCCCTCTTCCCACTCGCAGCAGACTTGGCGTGTGTCGTCATCAGTTTCGGTTTTTTTTTTTTCTTCTTTCTGTCTTTCTTTGTGTATAGTTGTTGGTATTGTTGTTGTTCATTTTCGTGCGATGCTGTAACATGTTATGCAACCAGCGAACCACACACACAACCACACACACACACACACACACATATGCATATACACACAGGCACGCAAGCTACCAGAGCGAAAGAGAGAGGCACAGCCAACTAACAGCAACAACAAACAACAGCGCCAATTACATATGTATAGAGCTCAAGTTCAAGCCAACAAACACACACACACACACGCGCGCACACACATAACACAAACTCGAACACGAACACGAACACCAAACAACGCGCAGCAGCAAACGGACCAAAAGCAAGCAAAGCAAACGAAGACGCCGTCGCGGCCAAAAAAAAAAAAAAACAAAGAGAAAAAAACAACAACACAAGAAAACTTAATTTTTGGGGCCCAGCAGCCGTCGTTAAGGTAAAAATAAAAATAAAATACGAAAAACAACAACGAGCCAAACTGGTTGCCACTTAACACGCACTTACACACACACACACACAAACACACACACAGACACCGTGGTCGACAGACGCGTGCGCGGCCGGCGGGCCTGCGCCAAGCGTTGCCAGACAGTTGCCGTGCACTTTCGCATTGACGCTCATTCGTAATTGAATCTAAAGTTCTTGAGTGATTCATTTGACTATCTTTCGAGTGATTTCGTTGATTGCTTATCGACTACACTGATTCATTGAGTTTATTAATATTTTTCATTATCGTTTTTTTTAATGGATCCTAAGTGAATTTATCAATATGCTTTACAGCACAACACACTTGCCATTTATCGCACTCAGACACAATGTGACATTCATTCAGCATTGAGCGCTCATTCATTTTAGTTTTCGCTCGGCTTTACAGTTAAATTGCAGTTGGTTGCTCCGTTGCATGACAGCAGCGGCTCAGCTGATGCTGGCGACAATCTGGCAACGCTGCAACAACAGCAACAAGTCTGCGCAACAAGTTAGCAAACTTTTACGACTGTTATGACCAACTTCGCGCTTACGGCATCATTTGCGGCCGCTTAAGCTTTGCTTGCATAAAGTACCACACACACACACACACACACGCACACAAACATATGGAAACAGGCAATCGCTGGTGAGTGGGAGCGGGGTAGTGCGACGCCGCCGTCGCAACGCTAAAACGTGTTCAAAAACAACTTCAAGTTGGCCGCGCATTCATCTCTGCATGTGTGCGCGTGTGTGTGTGTGTGTGTGTGTGTTGGTGTGTGAGTGTGTACAAAAGACAAGATAAACAGGAGTACAGAGTGCAGCCCGCGATACCCGTATACCCTGTGCCCAATTCGGCAATCAGCGAACGCTTCGGCTCTGTGGGGCTTTATGCACGGGGAGAGGGGAAAGGAGAAAGGGGGAAGGGGGTGACTGTGTGGCCGGCGGCCATACAATGAAAAGCAGACAAATAGATCAGAGCGCCGCTGTCGCAGCGACGCCGACTGAGGCCGCAACTCTTGTTTTGTTGCTGTGGTTTTTGCTTTTGCCTTTGCTTTTGCTTTTTGCGCTATATACGCATGTGCTTGTGTGCGTGTTGTTATGTATTTATGGATAGGCAACTCTACAAGTTTTCTGTCTGTGTGTGTGCGTGTGTGTGTGTGTGTGTGTCTGTGTGTGCGGTTTGCTGCTCGCCACATCTTTCATCTAGGTGAGAATTTCCCTTTCATTTGAAAATGAAAATAAGTTTACTTTTCTTTGCAGTCTGCGGGCTTCTAACTTGTATGTGTGTCTGCATGTGTGTGTGTGTGAGTGTTGCTGCTGTTGGCAACATTTGCTTTGTACACATGTTGCGCTTTTTATGTTGCTGTTGCAGTTGCTGCTTTCGAGCTTTTATTGCCGCTTAGACCTTGCCTTGATTCTTGATGGGTTTTTTTTTTGCCTCGGTCGCTGCGCTGCATGCAGCGAGAGCTTGGCTTGGCAAAGTTCCGGTTCAATTTGGCACATCAACTCTCAATTTGACATTTTATGATTGTTTTTTTTTTTTAGCATAACAAATGATTACAATGTATAAGTGTGCGTATGTGTGTGCGTGTGTGTGTTTGTATGTTTGTATTTATGTAAATATGTATGAGCTGCTGTTAGGTAAGATTTTTTGTTGCTTGGCTTGGCTTTGGCTTGGCTGTTGCTGCCTTTGCTGTTGTTGTATCGTAAACACGTTCGCACACACACACACACACACACACAAGCGTGCCTACCTACCTAGCTATGTGTGTGTGTGTGTGTGTGATGCTGAAGACTGCCTGGCTGACTAACTGGTTTATAAAGCCAACAACAACAACAACAACAACAACAACAACGACAACGACGTCGACAACAACAACGACGTCGACGACGACGACGCAATATCCATAACCTCGATGAGCTAACACCAATACAGACGCAGCAGCGCGCGCGCGCGGAGAGTAAATGTTAGAGCGAGAGAGCAACAGAGACGCGCTTTATTCTGCGCACACACAGATCAAAGCTTTGGAACAGGTAGAAGGCGGCCCGACGCAGAGGGCGCGGCGCGGTGCGGGGCGTCGCGGGGCGTCGCGGGTGTCTACATATGTATGTACAAATATGCGAATTGAAAATGAATACATAGTTATTATAGGTGTTATTTATAATGCTAGCTTTAAATCAAAAACAACAACAATAACCTGCACGAACAGGTAACAAAGCTGAAAGGGAATGGGACTGCCAGAGAGGGGGGGGGGGGGCACAGGCGAGGGGTATTGGCGCGGCGCTTATACATTTGTATGTAAGCTTAAATCTTAACTCACGCAAATACATACTACATACACATACATACGCACACATATGCATATGGCATATAGTTTGACTGGAAGGGGGAATGGGAATAACATTAGCAATTAGTTACGAGCAGCTATCAAAACTGGAAGTTTAACTGGAAAGCAGCAGCAGCAGCGACAAAATTAACGGCAAAAGATCGAAAAAAAATAATCGTATGAGAATATATATTTATGTATATATTCATTAAATTGTGGTTGCGCATCGATAAATGCAAAGCTGCAGGCAAAAAATAATCGATATAATTCACCAACTGCAAACTTAACATTTTTTAATAACTTTCAATTCAACTTATCGAATGAAAGTCGATTCACGATTGTGAGTGAAGAGTAATCGATAATCGAAATGCAGGCTCAACGATACAAACTTAACTGAAAACATTCGATAATCGATACCAAAACAGCCCGAGTCAAACGATAACCATCGGATACAGATCGATCAACAACTGTAAAGACAAACAATGATACGATATCCAATAATATCCAATCAAATATAATAACGATAATCAATTGATTCCAATTGATGACAATTACGCCAAGCAATCGATAAGCAATAAGCGTCGGGCAATAATGTAAACAATCGATAGGCAATGTTAAGGCAGTCGACAAACAATCGATAAACCAATCGACGCACATTGCCACAAAGCTAAACCTATACAAAGTTTCCAATCAGACCCTTTCGCTGCACCCCGCCGCCTCCTTCCTCCTCACACTCACACACTCACATACGCACCTACATGCTTACTCCTTGAGTGCCAGCCCCTCCCCCTTCCCCACGACATCTAAACGTCGATCGTTTTAATTGTCGCAAGGCAAATTTGACTTGGTAATTAACACATGGAGCGCCCAGTCAGACTGAGACTCAGACTCAGACGACGACGTCGACAGCGACGCAGGCAGCAACAGCTCTACCAACCCCCCCCCCCACTTCGTTCTAGCTCTCAACCTACCCCTTCCATGAATGCAGCAAGCTTTACCCCTAAACAGAACAACAAGAAAAGCAGCTGGTCCACAATTGGTGGGGGTTGGAAATGAGGAATGGCATGGAATGGAACTGAGCTGGCGCTGGCGTATTAAAGGGGGATTGGGGGGGGGGGGGGGTGAGGTATGGGCACGTTGCTCAATCAATCGACAGTCGGTCGCTAGGTCCAATCACAAACGCTGCCAGCCACTTGTTGTTGTTGTTGTTGTTGTTGTTGGTTACTGTTTCTAAGTCGTCTCCGGCTGCTGTCATCCAGTTGGCGAGTAATCAATGCACTCACACACACACACACAGACAGAAACTCGCAAGTCAAATAAAACTCAACTCAGTGATAAAGCACATAATGCGACGTGATATTTACAAATGTACGTGTGCATGCATTTGTGCATGTGTGTGTGTGTGTGTGTGT